CATAACAATATTTATCGTATACATGTCTAACTTACACTAAATCTATGGAAGCTATTCATATAATTTTTGTTTATAGTCCTGAAGATGTTCAACATGCGCTCACTCATCGACTAACAAGAATAATAAGCTTCAAAAGGGTTTAAATGACTTTTGAAAACTACATGATTGAGCAAGAACAAAAATATCAGAGGGACTTGCGGCATAAAAGAGAACTAGAGCTAACTGAAGTAACAAAATCTGAACAAGAAAATACAGATTAATGTTTGTTTGTAAACTCATAGAAACGTCTTATTTATTATTTTCTTTTGCTAAGGATTATTATTTCATAGTTTGACTCGTGTCAAACGATATTGAAAAATCAATCTTGATTTATTCTATCCTGAACACTTTCAAGGTGAAGATAAAGCCTCGATTCCTTTTCATGTTGACTATAATAGTCGATTGTGGTGCTCAGAGAATAATATAGATGACTGAATTCGATTGACGGTAAAAATTAATATTTTCTGTTTGTTCATTTTTTCTTTGAAATAAATTAAAGACTAACAAAGATTAATCTAAAAAATTAATTACTTTAGCGTCTAAATCGTAATATATTGGAAATTCTATAATCAAAATGTTCATGATAAAATCTTCTCAGACTCCTTCTTGAGTAAGTTTGTAGTCAAATAAACTTCCAAGTTCAACAAATGAGTGAAATTCTGTTTCCTCAGGCTGACTCTCTTCTTATCATCCACTTTCCCGTAACCACCACCGGCCGGTGTCAATAAAATAAAACAACCCTCGTTCAAAAAAAAAGGATCATTCATTTCTTTGATATTCAATTTTGAGATGACTTACGCCAGGTTCCATCTGTACTGAAGATTTTCCATCTAAATTCACCAATCGTCCATCAACACGTTTCAATAAATTCTTTCCACATTGACCATTTTCACCTGCATTTAATCCATAAGGTTGATGATCTTTATCTTCATTTTGAAAACGTTCAGGATAGAATAAATCGGGATCAATTTTCCAATATCGTTTGTCTCGAGCTAGACTGTAGAA